TTTTGATGTAAGAAAAATGGGGTAATTTGTTTCAGTGAATTTTAAGTACTAAAATGCATCAAAATGCAGGATTTTGGGTGCCGGACCCCCCTTACTTGGCTTCAATTATTTTCAGGATTTTTAGGAAAGGGACACTTTCATCTCTGCACTAAGAAATTTGAAATTTAGCATAAATTACTCATTATAATGTTGTTATTGCACACCTGTCACATCCTCTTATTCAGAACTTGCCAATAGCTCTCTCTGATGTTTAATACTATATTATAACTAATAGAAAGCCAAGGTTTTAATATATCAAATGGCATATTATATTATGTTGTTTTCTGTACATTGTCTATTTCACTTCCAGTTGATACTTTATTCCCACTAGAAACACATCAACAAGCTTAGCTGAATTTATAATGGCACTTTTCGCATTGTTAGAAAGTCAGAAAAATTGGGATAGTTATGGAACATTGTCTGTTTTTTGCAGATGATTATTCTGTTTTTTTTAATTAAACTTTATCATCAATATATGTCAATAAAAGTGACAAATTTAGTTTATAGTTAAAATTTTAATTGTATCTAAGTTTTAACTCTCTCAGTACAGGCTCATAAAATTTAACTGACCAAGTGATATTTTCTACTCGTTCAAAGTCTTTATAGATTTAATACTTTTAAAATATCATGTATTTCTTAATGAAATTTGTCAATCTTTCAGTAAACATTCTAAGTCTTTAGCATACAAAAAATATTTTTAGTGAAGCATTTTTAATAAACTAAAAAAAGATATGAGTAATCTCTAAAACCTCCTAAATACATTTCAAATGTTTGTTTTCAGTAAAACTATATTTTATCTGTTATTTTCTCTACCTGATTCTATACAGCATTGGTCAATTTGACCAACTTTGTAACCACCAAAGAAAAAATCTGAATAAATATAAATTACCATTTTTTTTTCTTTCTAGAATGACTTCAAATTGTAACATGAAACTACATTCGTTTATCCTAAGTAGCTTTAAACTCATAACAGTATACATCTATTTATAATTAAAATTTATTGTTTTATTGCCCTTTGCACCGTGTCTAACTACTGTTCATGCCATTATAAGTTGTAAATCACTTGGGGAATGTGGAGGTCATGCTACTCTATTGAATTACATTACCGACGAGCTGCTCGCTCTCATGCCTCATAAAACATTATTATTATATTATTATTTATTTTACCTAATCTAACCTTAACTAACCTAAAGATATCCCTATTTTTACATTTTAATTACTTTTTATAATAATAAATAAAGAATAAACATGTAAAACAAGTACTTACACAAATCTTCTTTTTTTTTGCTGTTGATTGTCAATGACACTTAACCCAACTATTTTTACATTTTAATTACTTGTTACGACAGCGGAAGTCACGCGATGCTGGGAGCATGCACGCTGGAGTTTCTAGAAGGATCGTGACTTACCAAGGAACCCCGCGAATGTCCGAGTGTTGGCCAGGCACCCTCTTTTTTTAGTGTATAAGCCTGGCAAGAAAAACCAGCATAATTGAAGAGATAGATAATTGAGTAAAGCGAACAGTAGGCACTGTAAGTAAAGTGTGTGAATCACTGCGATTTATAGTGTGTGTGTGTGTTATAAAGGTTGTTAAGTTTAAAGTGACTGTGGAAATTCTGTGTACTAAAAAGTTGTATCAAGAAAGAATAAACTAGTTTTAATAAAGAAGGGACTTGTACCGCTGAAGTTCCTCGGAAAGAATTTAAACCAGAAATTTACAAACGAGGAGATATGCAACAAATTGGTGCCAGAAGTGGGACGGGTAAAAAAAAAGGAGACGATGGAAACGAGGAGTAGCAAATCAAACTACAGCTTTGCAGATTTGATGGCAGCAGTACAACAACAGCAAAAGAAACACGAAGAACGAGAAGATAAACAAGAAAAGAGACTACAGCAGTGGCAAGAAAACCTGCAACAGTGGCAGCTCAAACAGCAAAACAAACAAGAGAGATTACATCAGTTGTTGGAAGAAAAAGAAAGGAAACAAGAAGAGAGACTATAGCAGTGGCAAGGAAACCAGCACCAGTGGCAACTGGAACAAGAAAGGAAACAAGAAGTACAGATGGAAAAGATTAGTAAATTTCAAAGTGAATTAAATACATTAAAGAATGATTTATTGTCTTTTACACAAGGAGGATACATTAACCATCAACCTAATCAGCCCCAGACAATGGGAAGCCCCTTCCAGACCCTGCAGCTAAACCCTAATGCAGACATCTTCAGTCCTGTTAAAAGTCACATC